GAGTAGTTGAAACTATTGTTACCCATTTAACAGAGTAGTTGGAAACTATTGTTAACCCATTTAACAGAGTAGTTGGAAACTATTGTTACCCATTTAACAGAGTAGTTGGAAACTATTGTTACCCATTTAACAGAGTAGTTGGAAACTATTGTTACCCATTTAACAGAGTAGTTGGAAACTATTGTTACCCATTTAACAGAGTAGTTGGAAACTATTGTTACCCATTTAACAGAGTAGTTGGAAACTATTGTTACCCATTTAACAGAAAATTCAGTAGCTCTATCAAGTCAAAGAAAGCGTCACAGATACTAGAACAAGACATTAACCTCAAATTATCGATTTGTTTTTTATGCCGATCAATACCGGCGAGATACAAATATTGTATATTTCGAGTAATTTTAGTTTTTTGTTTGCTTCTTACAACATTATTCTGTAGTAATAAATGGGATTAATTGTAATATTGATTTTAGTTTGGTTACAATTTTTGTGTAACCCTTACGTTATTAAAGACCTTGTAACCAACAAAATAATGGACCCACAAGCAATGTGATGCAAAAATAGTTAAGAAAAAATTGTTTTAAAAATAGGTGGGTTGGGGAGCATCGTTAATTCTATGGGTTAACAACATTTGTTGCAGTAACCTAGCACCTTTACCTACTGTCAGTTCGGGTCCAATTACAATAACAAAAAGTTTCTCGTTTGTTTGTATTTTCTGGTCAACCTACATAGGCTATCAAGTTAGACGAGCACTGTCAGGATGTTCTTGTTATAGAAAATTTAGATTTAATTCGCTAGATGGTTACTTGCACATGAAAAACCGTGTAATTAGTGACGTTAATTTATTCTTCGGTTACATCTTCATTTTAGGAACGATTTAGTCATAGTAGGTGCTTTCCTTATATGATATATGTTTGTTTATTTATTCGGTATAGTTCGAAAAGAAAACGGAGGGAAGTCAACTGACGTCATCGCACGTTCGAGGTATTGGAACCGATGTAGCTACCGTAGGCAGTATGGTCTTCCTCTCGCAGTTCGTACTCTCCTCGTGTATGGGAAGCATAGTGCAAGCTGTCGGTTCAAGCGTAGCCACAGTCTGGGCAGCTTCAATTTTGAGCTCTTGTGGCGCCCTCTGTGCTACGCAAGTTATGTATCTTGATCTTTAAATTTATTTAAACCGTCAGAACAACTGAAGTGTGTAACTTACATATTTCTAATTAAGCAAAATCAAGATATCGAAAGAAAACGTTTTCTGTTGTTATTAGTTCTTTATTTGAAAGATAAACTTCAACAGTATACGTTTACATTTTCCTGGTTCCCAAATTACCTTGGTAATTCTTGTTAAGAAGGTAACATATTTTATACTTTATTTGCACCACGCTTTGCATTTCAAGTTCGTCTGATTATTGTATAATTAGGGAAAGGAAAATAAAAAAAGCCTTATGATAAACATCAAGAAATATTTAACGTCTGAACCAAAATCAATACTTTAAAGAACAACCGCTGTTCAAGGTGTATAACGAGTTATTTATTGCTGTTGTTTTTTAGATTAAAAATTCATGAAATGAAAAATGTGATGGTTATTACTCAAGTTGGAGAAGTATGAGAAAAATATTTAAAAAAACCACCAGTTTTTAAACTTTGCAGAACAGACTGGTGGATTGTGAAAACTATACATACTAGACTTTTAATGTTAACCATCTAAATCTCATACATTTGAAATAACAATACCAACATTTTAAGTGCTGATTTACACATTAAGAGCGAGAATTGATAACAAAAGTATTCTTCATTCTGTAAACTGGTTTTCAATAAATTCAAATCTCTGCAAACCCAGCATTTATTGTCAAAATACATACATTCATATAATTTTTCACTTTTTGTTTGCCTCTGTTGTATAAATCGGCGTTTTCAAACTAGGATCCGAGCGTCATGTCCGAAGTTTCATAAAAATTATTTTAAAGAATATGATCTACAGAATAAAAATATGTTTTCGTAAAATGAAACCTATGTGGAGTAAACCATTTAATTTTGGAATACAGCTTTTCATGTACACGGAATCCTTTATTTCAAAACAAAGAACTTTGATAGGCTTGGGACTCAGGTTTCTAAAATAGGAGAACCGCTAGCATAAATTATGTCGAAAATATCCATATAACACAATACTTTTTATTGGTAATTTTTTTAAATTTCAAAGCGCTACCTATGATTAGTCTATTTCAACTTATCTGTATTCATATTTAGCTATATTCAAGTAGCTTGATTTATGTTTAAAATATGTTATATACGTGTGTGTATTCTTGTAGATAATACAATTGTATTTCCAATTATCTCGAATATTTAGTTTATTATGAGAGATTCGTTCTTTCTTGCTCACAGTGCTGTCTTGTAAAAGCTCAGATAGCGAGTGTTACAGTACTGGTACCTCAAACATTATATCATGTTCGCGTGATTATAGATTGTTGTTAGCTTTTCCGGGTAACTATCATTTATGAGAGGTCGCTCTTTAGAAGTTTGATATTACTAACCTCGTAAAAATATTGTTGAAAAGATAATGTGTAAATTTAATCATATCTTGTAATCTTGTATTACTCTGAAGTTTTGAAATTTTCTCGGTGTGTGTATTGATATGACTGTTTGATTAATTACAAAGTTTATTCGTTTGAAATGTTTTGTTTCTTTCAGTGAAAATAATATAAAATTTTTGCAAATCTCGAAATACGCGGCAAAAGGTATACATAGTTGAGTCAGTGCGGATTATTTTGGTGGTTTGTGAATCATATACAGACCACGGAGACATGATTAAACCAAAAGAATATGTATTTAATTTTACATCAAGCATAGGATAATTTTAAAACTTAGAGTACATGCAAGTCAGAAGCTGACTGTAGCAATTAGATGAACATATAAATTACGAAAGTACTTATGTTCTACGTAACACTTCACTATACATGATTTTATTTATCCTTTCCTATTTGTCATAGCTAATCTACACATCAAATTAAAAGTGTGATATACCGGACAGATATTTTCAAATAAACTGTATTGTCCATCCTAACTGCTACAAAGTTATGTAATCGGTAGAGATTATTCAGTCTTATTCATTTCGAAGAAATACGAAATCAAATAATATTTCTATGCCATGTCATAATAAGAAAAGTGTCATAAATAGTACTGACATATTACAGATTGTATTTTAAACAGATGTGAAAATCGAAAATTTTGAAGCAGAATAAAAGCACGTGACATAAATAGCTACTACAAAAATTTCTATGATGTAAACGTCTTTTTCGAGCTGGCGAAACATGATCATTATTAATTTACTTGTCATTAGACATTAGTGTTAGGCCAATTATATTTTTAACACCACATCTGTTTCTGGCCCAACCACACTATGTTCACCGTATCCAATGCAAATGACGCGTTTCGCTCAGTCGAGAGCTCATCAAACGGCTGGAGCACAACACACGAACAAAGTGTGGTTGGAATACTATTATTATACACTCTTTGAATTCTTGAAAATCCCTAAGGGACTAGATACAGAATGCACTGTTAAAAACATAATAGATGTAATACTAATCTCTAATGGCAAGTAAATTAATAACTAGTTACTGTGTATTTCATAACCTGTTTTATTGAATTGTTTACACAGTTACAAACAAGTAAGTACTTTGTGTAGTTGCAAGTTATTTTGATGTAAAACACTAAAATATATTCACCTTTAAAACTTCAACCAGGAGAAAAACAATAATCCCAGTTAACCAACAATTTACCCTTAACTACTAGGAATGATCTATATGACCGTAAGGATTTTATTTTTTCAATAACTATTAGTATTATATTAACTAATTTTTGTTCTTGTAATAATATTGAAATTTTTTTGTATATTCTGATATTTAGTGCAAGTTTTTTAATACCATGTTGTATTTTTTAAACAATTTATAGTTTTGCTATTAAAAATTTGCAGTTTGAGTGGTCTTCCATCAAAACTCATATTAATACTTAATGTATATTTCAGCTATAACATGTTTGTAGTACTACTCTTAAATCTTCTATTAGATAGCTTTGGGTTCCACATATTTAAACTATAGCTAGGAGATAATTAATGGACCATTTTCAATGGATGCATGTAATCAGCAAAATTAAAAATTAGTTTTCACCCCACTGATTTATTTCTCTCTCTTTTTAAAGTAAGCTTCAAATAATCTTCTAAATGGTCACGAGTCATTCGAGGAAGATTAGGTGGTTGAAAAGAGTGATCTACTAAAGAAAATACTGGGTCTTGAATAAATACTTTAGTACAATAGGAAGAACCACAGGAAATCTTAACTAACACTAATGATAAAAATGCCAATTACTCACCATATAAGGCCTATGGTCCAAACTACAAATACAGACTCTCCAGATGGTTGAAAGTTTGTGTGTATGTATTCATATATATGTGTATACTTATATAAAGTATAATTATGTGAAATCACTGTTATGTCAAATAACTATTTCAGCTCACATTTAAAAGTCTGAAATTCTTAAAACTTCCAATGTTAGACAGCCTACAAAATAAGTGGAAAAATTCTGTCTCAACAAGCATAAAGTACTTACTACCACAGTGTCACAACCATTATTTGGAAATTTCCAAAACGTTTCTTCTTAATTGTGGTTCACAACATGTGAATAATATCTGGTTTCTGGGTATTAATGTAAATATTATGAAATCGGAACTTAAACTGTAATTTTTACAGGAAAAAAACGTTTGACTTAGTAATCAATCTAACAAGTACAAAATGAAAAAGAAAATAATGTATTGTTAGCCTTGCTCTAGTCATCCTCTCAATAATTATATAGCATGATAAGCATAACTATCTTTTTCAGCCGAATAAACATATTCAAAACAGTTTGGCTAGATTTAAAAACGAATATTAAAATAAATTACATAATATTTTGCTATGTTTTCTAAACTGATTTATGTAAAGGAAAAACAGAGATTGTATGTATTAAAACACTTTTTCTATCTCACAAAATATTTTTTCCCCCTGCTGAAGTTACTACATTGTCAGTCAACACTTCAACTACACCTTACTAATATATGCAACGAGAAATAAGTATATATTAATTTTTACTGTTTCAAAATGGCTCACTAAATATTCATGTTCTTTTTTTCTCAATGAATGACTAAAATCGACTTAATTTACCATCTATATTTCTTAATGAACAAGATAACAGATAAGGAAAAACAATAAAAAATATAAAGCATGTTAAGACTACAACATTTCATGAACTGTAAAATTCAATGAAAATTTCTCAATCTGTTTTGGTTCAAACATACTAAAAAATATTACTGAGCAATGGTTTATTGATCAGTTCACAATGAATACATGAAATCAGAAGTTTAGTAAAACGTCTAAATAGATATGAAATTTTCTAACACATGCCGATTAATTCTCTTACCTCTCGATCAATTTCAATATCACTGTTTGATATCAAGAAACAAATCCTACCACACAAAATAGGTAAAAAAAGTATAATAATATACAAATACAAAATTCAATATATTTCACAAAACATACACAAATACTGAAATATTGCAAATACAGACATTTACAAAAAAATCAATACCGAGTTCAACAAGACTTGTACCTGTAATATATTCCACTTTAAGAGTTATTTTTCTTAAGTAGCAAAGATTGGTCACAATATTCTTGATGTATAAAAAAGTATGGCATTCTAGTACAACAAGCTGTATAGATTAATATTCCTAATCTTATAAAAACCTGTTAAAGATTAATTATCATCTTAGTAGTTCTTTTTCCCATAAATACAACAACAGAATACAGTACAACAAATATTCTAGTATATAAGAATGGAAAACTTCACCAGACTCGTTAATTTTAAAAGGGTAAAGTAAAAATTTCAATTGTACAACTTGTTTATAAGGTAATTACAGAATGGAACAAAAACTGTTTAAAAATTTCAATTGCTCCACTTGTTTCTCTTTTTCCTTGTTCATAAGGTAATTACAAAATGAAACAAAAACTGTTTATAAAGCAAACAAAAATTTTAGCTTTACCTTTTATACATACTATGGGAAAATACCAAAAATGGTAGATTATCAAGGGCTTGAATAAAGCAACATTTGGGGTAGTATGACAACTTTACCTGGGATTTTTTGACATAGGAGAGTCAATGTTTTGTCAACACTCAGACTAGTCCAGAAAACTGGTTTTTATGTAACTTCAAATTTATGCAGATTTTAAGTATTATTTCAGAGTTTGACAAAAGTCTGAGCTACCTTCTCTTCCAATCTTCAGGTCACTGGTTTTAAGTGTTAATATGCAGTCATGAACATGATATTATTATGTTGTGGGATTTAATGGCAAAGTGACTGTTATTTATTCAAATCTCTAATTTCTACATGTTGTTACAATACTAGTTTTAATCACTGTAAACAAAAGTTGAGAATTTATTGATAAAGTATATTATTGTTATTTAACAATGTACTTATTACATACCACTTCATTACTCCTGTGAACAAAATTTATGTCTTTGAGAAACTCAACTTCATTTCCAGTGACAATTCTTTAACCAGAGATAAGCCTCGTGCTGAACACAATTGTCACACTAAAATGTTTTTCCAAAAGCTTTTGAATGACAACCTATTGCTGTGAACACTTTCAAATATAAACTAATAAGTTTGAATAATTTTTAGAATGATCCTTCACCTACATTTACTTAAATATGTCTAACATAATGTTTTCATGCTAGTTTAGTTGAAAAGTTTGTTTCATGCAACAAACTGGTTAAAGCAAAAATTAATTAACACACACATACATCAAGGACAGTACAGTTCTTTACTGGTTGGTGTCAGTTTCCATGAATTTGAGGTTAAGTGCTTATATGTATGTATGTATACACATGCAAACAATACCTCATCCAGTAGAACCAGTCATTGTTATATGTATTCTATGTCATCACAATAAAAGGGTAATGCACCATGTTGATGGCAAACTGAGATATACTACAAACAAGGTTCAAACAAGGATTGTTGTCTTTAGAAAATAATACCCACACTTTTATTGATTCTTTTAGTGCAGTTAATACAAAAAAATTGATATTCAACCAATTTTATGGATTTTCTACCAAACAATTTTAAACTCTTTACTACCTTCATCGAGTTTAATAACTACAACACTCGCTTTAGGTATTATTTTCCTTGATACTAACATTAGAGAGTTCTTTCCCACCTTTTTCTCCTGTATCCACATCAACAAAACTATTCAGTCCAACTTCATCAGGGTCACAAGTGCTAAAATGTTCTGTTAGCTCTTTTTCTCTTCTAAAAGCATTCATATCGGTAGCAGTAATATTTTCCAGCTCTCTTTCAGTGATATCAGAAAGGTTTTTCATTTCTGTAGTCAAAATTTCTTGTCTTTTACTATCTGTATGCATATCAGGATTCACTTCCAGCAGGTCAGGACTATTTGTATTCATAACTGACACAGGTGTAACTTTCTCAGCTTTATTAGTTGCAGGAAGTTGAAGATCTTTTGCTTCAATTCCAGAATAATTAAAAACTATGACAGGTGCTTCCTCTGTTTTAATATTAGTTTCATTTTCTTTTCTTTCACCTTCATTATCAGGAGAGTCTATGTCACTTTCTACACCAAGTGAGGGCTTCTCTGAGTCTTTAGGAGTGCTTTCTTTACTCTCAGTACCCATGCTTGCAGTTTCTGATAAAGCACTCTTACTACATCTGCTCTTTTTCTCTTTTCCTGCTGTAGAAGGTGGTTTCCGAACAAGGCCAAGTACGTTAAGCATGTGCAGAGGCTGTTCGTTTGAGCTCTCTGTAAAGAACTTGTTAATTATAGCTCTATATTGACTTCTACAGCTTAGTATATAGTAAAACCTGAAACCTACACTCACAACTCCACACCATCAAACAAAATATCATTTAATATAGTTAAATTCCAGTCTGTTACTGTGTGTTTAATATAAGCTCAGTTGTACTTAACAATACTTATAACATTAAGAAAGAAACACACCAATTTTTTATCGTGTTCAATAAGCGATCACTTACATATGCATATCTCAAGTATTTCAATTCTCATATTTGGCAAATTATCTTACTGTTCATGGATTTCTAAAATATTTACTTAAAACTCTGTACTGTTATCAGAAAATTTATGAAAAAAAAGAGAGTTATTTAAGTTATTACAAAGAGTGGCTCACTATAATCTGGTAGTATAATCCTTAGTTTCTTCTAAACTATTAGTATGTTTATAAAAACTAACCTGGTTTGGGAACAGATGAAACTTTCTCAGGAGGAGATACATTATCTTTAGGTTCACTGCTTACTTCATTTTCTGAAGTTGTACTCCTCCATGTTTGAACTCGTGCAAAACTTTCATTAATAGATTCTTCTTCATTTGCATCTAACACCACCAATGGTGGGAAGAAAGCAGACTGTGGCTGAAGTCGAATACTGTCTGGTTCCTGTTTGATGGTGGCTGCTAATGCTTTGGCCCGGCTAGGATAGCAGGATCTCTTACCACATACAACTAAATGTTGAGCTAAAAACAAAATACTGTAATTATATCACATTCGTTTTGATAAACAACTCAATACGAGTTTTAATAACACAACTTTAATACCCATAAAAGACTTTTTTACTATACCTGATTTTTAAAACATCTTGAAATTGACTTTTATTTTATCAATGAAGTTATACAGAACATAAATCCAGTATGAATACTTTCCAAAGACTTCAACAGTCACTTACTCTGTAATTTATCACCATGTTCATAACCCTAATTAGCTAACAGATTTCTGCTTATTAATCCAAATATCAAGTAACCTTGAACTGTCTGACTTTAGGCTTAGAGATGTAATTACCATGAAAACCTTAAGCACTATCATTTTTTCCATACTACTAGGTATCAAACTTGCTATCCAGTTGTTGTTTTTTTTCCTATGTACATAACCAAAACATGGGCAATGTTACTTGTAATCCACATTTCCAAATGGCCATTATCAGATTTACATTCTAACCCGACATATCCAATTAGTTATCACAATATGTAATCAAAAGCTAAACACTAAATAAACCACAGAGTTAACTTACTATGAAAATTAGAAGCTTGAAATGTAATTTTTGAGAGTAAAGAAATATTAAATGAACTTTTCAACAAACTACCAGCTATTTAATAAACATTTAATTTTACCCCCATTTTCTGGCACTAATTGTGAGAACATGAAAATAAACTCAGAAAAGATTATTTACACAGAAAACAAAAAATATACTACCAAAAGTAAAGTTTATTTCTTTTTATACCTATATCATTTCCATTTATAGTGTTGTATCCACAAATACAGAACATTGGCCCTTGACAATAGATTGGCTTCAAGTTAATTAATGAAGATCTCTTCTTGCTTGATATGGAGTTGTGAACAACCATATGGTTTACAAAAGCTTTGCCACAATTTGTGGCATATCCACACTGGCTACAGCTCATAAACTTCCTATGGAAAAAAGTAGGATTTAAGTACTATCATATAACACTTATATCAATAATGTTAATACTTTTGTTTATTTTTCTGACAAAGAAAAGTAATTCTCACTGTTGAACTTTAATACATACATTGTATTTGCTAAACTAGAAAAGAATTGTCCATTAAAAGTACTTCAATACACCCAGTTCTCATAAAGTCAAGCTAGAAACATGTATCAAAATGTTTTTGTTTATTTTTTTACAAAGAAGGCAATATTGTATACATTACTAGATTATTTAATGCATTGAAACAGAAAACAGGAATTAAAAATTAAACACTGTTTTATATTCTTGAAATCTACAACACATTCACTCAACATATTTTGAATGTACATTTCTGAAAGTCACAACACCTTATCATTACCGTATAAAGATGTTTCTCTCCTTAAAAAGTCAGTAGATAATCAGAAGTTGTTTTTGTTAAATGTAAAAACAATGTTAATTACTACCAACTACTGAAACATACACAACAGTATTCAGCATCCATTCTCATCCACTGTAAAGACAATGTTTACTATTAAAAACTACTGAAATATACACAACAGTATTCAGCATCCATTGTCATCCGTTGTAAGGACAATATTTACTATTAAAAACTACTAAAATATACACAACAGTATTCAGCATCCATTGTCATCCACTGTAAGGACAATATTTACTATTAAAAACTACTAAAATATACACAACAGTATTCAGCATCCATTCTCATCCACTGTAAAGACAATGTTTACTGTTAAAAACTACTAAAATATACACAGCAATGTTCAGCAGCTTCTGTAATTCACTGTAAGGACAATATTTACTATTACAAACTACTGAAATATACACAACAGTATTCAGCATCCATTCTCATCCACTGTAAAGACAATGTTTACTATTAAAAACTACTAAAATATACACAACAGTATTCAGCATCCATTCTCATCCACTGTAAAGACAATGTTTACTATTAAAAACTACTGAAATATACACAACAGTATTCAGCATCCATTGTCATCCACTGTAAAAACAATGTTTACTATTAAAAACTACTGAAATATACACAGCAATGTTCAACATTCATTGTCATTCGCTGTAAAGACAATGTTTACTATTAAAAACTACTAAAATATACACAACAGTATTCAGCATCCATTGTCATTTCCTGTAAAAATAATGTTTACTATTAAAAACTGATACAATATACACAGCAGTAGCTATTTGAGCAAGATTTATTGACTTTCATAGAATATAAAAAGCTGTGACTATACATGTCAGTATATAAAAATGAAATGATTAAGCAGACACCAAAATGTAATGCTGAAATTTGTACCTGAAATGTTCACCATCAACACTACCCTTGCACTCTATGCAGTGCAAATGAGATGTGTCATCCACAAAAACAATGTTCATGTACTTCTCTTCTGATGTTTTGAACATAACAGATGGCTGTGAAAAAGAACTCACTTCTTTCGTTACAGGAGATATTTTACTTTTACTCATTTTGACTGTTTTTACGTGTGGATCTTTCACCACTACATCTTTCTCACTTTTCTCACACTTCATTCGGATTACACCTGCAATACACCAACGCATCCATTCAGTATAAACCATTTTAGTTTACTAAACTATCATAATTTTATCTCAAACATATATCTGTGAAAGTTGTTCTACAAATTCATTAGTACTTGTTTGATACACAATCACCAGAAAGATAAGAGTACTAAAGCAATATTCCAATATATTTATTTTGAAATAGTTTTTCACCACATTGGGGTATTCTGAACAAAAACTGTTCCACAGTAATGAAACTTACTATCTAAAATTCTTTTACAGAAATGTATGATTCTCTAAGATCCTAAATGCTTTTAAACATAATTTTATGTTGCACTCAAAATTAATTGCAATTTTAACAGTGGTAGTGCTCTCATTGTGTATTTTTAGGCAAAGTTATCACACTTGCACTGTACTAATAAATTTCTGACATGCACAAGTACCACATTGACCACACAATTTACAGATAAAAGTGAGACTTATGCTTCATTTGCCAGTTCCATGTGAAGATAAACTTACCTGCATGCTAAGAAAAACAGAAAAACTTAGAGAAAAAAAGGAACTAAAGAAGTCAGTTATCAATATTTAACTGTATACCAACATATTACATTAAAACTATCATCCATATTGTTCAAATTCTTTCAATATCCCCCCCCCCTCTTTTCTAACAACTAATCTCTGACACAACTGGACTAATTGTGTAATTTTTGGTAACAAAGTAGGGTCTACACAAGATATGGAAATCCAGAAAAATTGGAATGAATTATAAAGATCTGTAAGGCTTGATCTTTTACTATGGCTATTTCTATGGATATAGTTGTTGTAGTAACTTTCTATTGCCCCCAAAGTTAAGTATTCTCATCACTTTGTACATGGCTATTATGCACATATTCTCATAACTTTGTGAACGTATCCTGTCTGTATGTAGACATGCGTTTCTTAAGCCATTTGGCATTTTTATTCTTTTCCGACTTTTTTAAAGCTTTTTTTCTCTGCAACTGGTAGTACACCAGCCATTTTTCTACTTTACACTTGCAAGTAAGCTTTGAATCTAATGCTGCTGATATCCGTCTTCTGAATTGTGTGCAATCTTGAAAGAAATTCTGATGATTGTTCTTACAGTTCCCAATGATTACTAACTCTGTAAGAATCTGTACAGATATCATATTAGAATAATACCATAACCTCTGGTAAAATTTAATCCAAAAATTCTCCCTCTATCAAAAAAAAAAAGATAGTTGTTGTTTCTCCTTCAGTACTTTTCAGTTTTTGTGTTGACAAACACCATTAGATTCCCCATATGGTGCATATTCTGTAAAACTTGCAAGTTGATGTAATAACAAATGTGCATCCCACAGCTGGAATACTGCATGCAATCTGGCAATGGCATAGCCAGGTTTTTCCACATCTATTAACATTTACATACCATTCAACAAATGTGTTTACTAACACCTTTAATTTGACTATTCAAGATGATTTGTGATCCAAATGTGTAAAACTACTGAGTATAACATTCTGTTTCTAACAATTTATACTTAATATTGCCAATGGCGTGATGCATCAAATATACACAGTGTTAAATGTTGGGTTATATTATCTTAAGCCATGCCTCAGTGATTATGTAAACAAAAAAGCAAACATTCAAAATAATACCTAAAGCCCTATTAAAACACATTAAACCACACTATAGATGCCAATACTATACATGCTAATGTCAAAATATGCATTATGTTTTAGAAAGTCATAAACATTAGATATCAACTATTTCAGTTTATAGTCCAACACTGAGATTTGTATGTAACAACCACGATGGCAAAAATATCTGAAACTAACCATGTGCTTCAGCCATGCTAACATGATCCACAGCTCGGTGTGTTTTGATGTGGTTATAATTAACGAAAACCAAGCAGCATGCTGGACACTTGCGAGATTGAGACTTTAGCTGATGTTTCTGAAGATGAAGGAAGAAGTTCTGGGTCATCCCAGTCTTCTGAACAGGAGATAAACGAGCACTGAACACCTTCAAGCAGTAGTGACACAGCAATTTGTCAGAGCCATTGTGAACCTGGCAAATATCAAAATAAAGAACAATCAATATCATAAATTATCTTCAATAAAATATTTGTGAACAAACTGAAATAGATATAATTAAAGGTGTGTGTATATAAACCATTGTTTTGAATAGAACTGTTAGTGCAGATTTCAGGCTAGTGTATGTGAGTCACTGCCTTGAATAGAACTGTTAGTGCAGATTTCAGGCTAGTGTTTATGAGTCACTGCCTTGAATAGAACTGTTAGTGCACATTTCAGGCTAGTGTATGTGAGTCACTGCCGTGAATAGAAATGTTAGTGGAGATTTCAGGCTAGTGTATGCGAGTCACTGCCTTGAATAGAACTGCTAGTTCAAATTTAAGATTAGTGTATGTGAGTCACTGCCTTGAATAGAACTGTTAGTGCAGATTTCAGGTTAGTGTATGTGAGTCACTGTCTTGAACAGAACTGCTAGTGCAGATTTCAGGTCAGCATATATAAATCACTTTCTTGCATGGCCTACTTATTGTTAAGAAACTGAATATTCTTGCAATAAGCAATAGTAATAAACTTCAGTATACCACAACCTAGTTAATTTTTTATATCATCCTTAACCATCTCAAACACTACAGTGCCAGCAACTAGAATTTCACTCAAAAGTTTAAAACACTGAAGACTTCTATACTATCTTTTTGTTACAAGCATTTTCACCAATGTTTTTATTTATGATAATTTGAACATTGAAAAAGTCTCAAACTTGGTCCTTGGAAATAAACTTCAACCAAACACCGTCCTTGAACTCCTCACTATGTACAAGATCAAATAAGTCTTGTGAACAGATGGCATGGTAAAACCTAGAAGATTAGAAGAAGATAATGCATGGTACTTTCATTTCAACTCATAAACCTCATATCTGTTACGCTTGTAACATTTTGGTCAACTTCACAAACATTAAGACTTCCTATCTCATTGAAACTGACAAAATCTCAAAGACGACTTCATCTCAAAAAATTAAATCCTAGTCTTCCTGATCATCAGAAGAGACACATCTTCAACAGAAGTATGTACCACAAACCAAGTAATACTGACTACTTTGAACACCAACATTTCAAATCTTACAGACTGCTTGCAGTTAAATAAAATTTTTCACACCTTCCAAACACAAGCTACAAAACGTTTGTCAACATAATGTCTCAAAATTACTTTTGCTTCTTAAGATTTCACAATATCACAGCAGATTTGCATGGAAATTACACAGAATGCCTTAAGCATGGTACATTTTAAAAGTACCTGCTGTAGAGATTTCCATGAGTGACATAATATGCAAGTTGCATATGTATGCAAACCCATCAAAGATCCAGTATCAGGGCACAAATCTCAAAAACTAAATTTCTTTAAAATGTAAAAAAGCAAGTGAATTGTTTCAGAAATTAAAGTTAATATTTTCTTACACTGATAGATATTTACCTCCTATCACATAATAGCTTTCCTCAATTTGTGCTGCTCTGCATATGTGCAATTTTTACTGACCACTAGCTTAGAGGCTCCCACCTAACATCATGTATTTACACGTGATATAGCTGCACTGTAGCATGCAAATGAACATGCGAAAACCCTCCATCAATGGGAGCACCACACATGCTTTTAGTGCAGCTGACTTCCTCTATACTGTGGAACACAATCATGACTTCAAGATTAGGCAAAAAAAGATGCATCAGAAGAGAGGAAGATGGGTGGGAAGTGAGAGAAGAGGTAATTATCTATCAGAAATACTCTTCCAGTGTAGGAAAATGTTAACTTCTGATACAATACCTTATGTTCACTCACATAACAGCAAGAATCCTACATTGGCTGTATTTTGCCAACCCCTGGACTAGGTTGTGTCAGACTGTAATCAGTGGGTCAACTCCAGTCAAAAACCAGACAGCACCAGATACATGTTATTCAGTTCATGGTAAAAGGAGGGTCCCAAAAGTCTTTACCTCAAGCCCAGGAAGCAGAAGTGAAAACCAACTTACATTCCAATAACCCAGGCAGGGCACGTGTGCAAACCTAGTACACAACCAACACCAGGCCATCCAGAAACCTGACGTCTGCACAATGGTAGGAAGGGAGAATGTAAACATGGTGGGTCAACTCCTGTCCAAAACTAGGTGGCAGCAAGAATGTTTCTCCCATTCCATAGTAGGAGGAGGGTCCCTACCAACCCATGTGTAAGGACTTGTACTGGATGGTCATATGCCAATCCAACACCAGACCACCAGGGACCTAACATCCAGGCAGCAGTAGGATGGGGAAAAGCAAGCTAGATGGGTGAACTGCATGTGGTGGATTCATCCAGTCCAAAACCAAGCAGAATTGGGAATGTGTCTTCCGGTCCATGGTAGGAGGAGAATACTCACCATCTGCTCTGACAGAACAACACCGCCCTACTCTTAACTGATGAAAGTGGTCACATTCAGGAGGAAGCCTCTATGGTCCACCACTTCACCAACTAGGAACTGGTAAGTGGCAAATTTTCCCATACACCACTGGAGGAGGGAGAGAACAATGTAGTCGGGAGTCCGGAGGAACACAACACCGTAAGATAGTGCAATGGGTGACCACAAAAACTCTATTTTGAAAAGAAGACCAGTCCTGTTTATTCAACTAGGACCAGAGGGATGGGCAGCAATACCAACATTGCTTTACTCATGATAGTCCATGAGTTGATACGAGCCTTATTTATGAAGCAAGATATACCATAAATAACACTCTAGCAGTCTTGTGGAACCCCCATTTCATCAGTGAGTTGTAGACCTGTAAGATCATATGGTACAGATTTAAAATTAAGTATATCTGGACAGACATCACTCACCACTGAGCAAGATCCAGAGATGTATGATCCAAAGTAGCAGTTAAAATAACTGAATATGTAAAAACATAATTGAGAAACCTATTCACGAAATAACGAAAGAAAGCTGAGGTAAAATTAAGACATTATGAGTATAAGATGAGGCAAAGGTAGGTGGGAAAAAACTGGCAAATCTCTTCCGTTACGAATGAGAAACATAGGCAGAGATATGTCAAGTACAAAAGAAGGCTCAGGCTGCATGAAAGACTACACAGTGAATAAGCCATCACCTCTCCCAACAGACAAAGACAAATCCAATGCCAATACAACTGGTAGACTAGCATGAACAAAGTCACGTTGTTTCACACCAGACAAAATGGAAATTGCTGACACTTAGGAAACAATGTCTTTGTAGATACTTCCACTGAAAAACGCCTAAATCTGAAAAGTTCATGAGTTTAAAAAATAAACACCATTACACACAATGCTAAATCAAGATTGTTTGTTTGTAGTTAAGCACAAAGATACACAAAGGGCTATCTGTGCTCTGCCCACCATGGGTATCAAAACCAGGTTTCTAACATTGTCAGTCCATAGACATACCACTGTGCCACTTGGGGGTGCCAAATCAAGAAGCGATAATTGTGTTCTACAGTATAGAAGAAGACAGCTGTGCTAGGAGGATGTGTCACACTCCTATTTGTGGAGGGTTCTCACATGCTACAATACAGCTATACCACGTGTAAACACAGGATGTTAAGTGGAAGCCTCAGGACTAGTGGCGAGCAAAAATTTCACATATATAGGGCAGCACAAATAAAAAAGTAATTATGTATGGAGGTATCATATTCAAGAAAAAATTAATACTCCTATTTTGTTAATACTGAGAGTTCATTGCACTTTACAAGAATAATGTTCAAGATCTCATGCTGCTTTGAAATTTCTTCCACCATTATTGATTGTACTCAATCTGATGACAATAACTGCTCACTGTAACAAACTTCTGCAAAGTACAGCAAAGTTAATAGGAGAACCACACATCTTCATAAGTATTCACCCATCCTCCACTGTATGTGAATGCTGGCTTCTAAAACCATATCAGCAGACCAAAGGTTCAAAAATTCTATTAGAGTTGCTTCACTGGCCTTGACAGGAATGTGATTGAAAGGGATTTAAATGGGATCGCTGTGATTGCCATTTCCTTGGTCATCTTTCTCATTAACCCTTTCACTGCAGCTGGGATGTATATTTCCCAGTGTACTGGGAAATATACATCCCAGCCACAGTGAATGGGTAAGACTTATGGAAGTCTGAACTTCTGGCAAGTAAGCATTCTCAATTTCACATTCTTGTTTGTCTTGTTAATGATATCAAAAGATATATCTGACTACATCAAAATGGCTTTTTTGGTTGGAGGGTTCTTATTTGTAACCATAGTCTTTACTCTGCAAATGAGAAGGTTGCTTCAGCTTGGATTGGGGTATAATTTCAGAACAATTGTTGTTTTAAACATTCTGTTGTTCAAGTTTTTCTATGGAGAAGACTGAAGACTTCCTTATTCTCATGTTGTATCCTATAGCTCTACAATCTTGCTGCACAAATATCCTTCCATAGAACGGGCTAGTATGATACATATCTTTAGTTATAAGTTTACTTATGATAGCATTGCACTGTTGCATAGATAAGAATTCACTATGAACCACATACATAGGTGCTAAACACTGTACTACCACAGCTTGCACCTGCAACAATATATCACTGCATTTAACATATGCAAACTGTTCTTAGAAAGTTAATACTCAGTACTATCAACAAACACTCTAGTCTCTGCATTCACTAAAAATGTAATCTATTTTTGAAGAAAAACTTGCAGCTGTACACATTAAGAGAATTCATAATTCATCAACTTTCTACGATAATTATTCCTCTTCTCTCTCATTATGACACCCTGCCTCAACTCACCTTTTATGACCTACAAGAAACATATCCTAGTAGTACCAGCTGCTTTCATAAAACTAACACAAATAGATAAGTTTGCTAACCTAATTTGAAACCTCTTTTAATTATATCAAATTGAAAATTTCACTTTCTGATACTTATCTTCAAAAGCAGTACTCTGTTACATTCACGTCCCACTTGTACAATGTAAAATTTAATGATTTTGTGTTTTAAGAATATCTTTTTGATCAATTATTTCAATGCATTAAATGTGAAGCATTAGAAATATAATGTAACAATAAACATACACTGATTTTTATGTTTTACTTATAAAACACTACCAAGATCAAGTCATAAGGTGTTCCACCATCAACTAACTTACCCAAACCTGCATTTTGTTTTTATTTGATGTTTACTTCAATTGCTTTACTCTTTATGAACAAATAATCAATAAATTATGTCTTTTTTAATTTCTTCCTATACCTTTTAAAAATATCTACAAGTTAATACCTCAAGGCCAGAAACTATATCAAAATTTTTTTATTTTTTTTCAGATTGGCATTATTATACCACAGAAGAAAAAATTCAAGTTTGTTTGTAATATATACTAGTCTGAACCTTTGATTTTATTTAAGTACAACCTATTTTACATGCTGTTTTAATGGTATAGCCAATGTTCAATGCTTTAAGTTTGTTTTTTTTCTGTCATAAACTAAAAATCACCACTGAACTTACCAGTACTACATTCAAAACAGCTAAACAGTCCATTTACAAAGAAAATTATTGCAAAAAAACAAAGCTGTGAAAGCCAAAATAATTCACTATTTTACATTTCCACAGATAGATGGTAAATTAAGGATTCCACTTTGTGAAATTTTATAAACAGACACTAGGTTTTTTATTACAGTGCAATGAAAATTCTTGTTGTTTGGGGGTGGGATTGCTTCAATTGTGCAGTAGCATTTTGCATAAATATTTTTTTTATTAGTTTTAATATATAGCACTGTTTCATAATATGAACATTTTATTCATTGATTGAAAACTTTATCATAAAATAAGTATAGTTAAAAATGGATTAAATGTTATAAATGAAAGTTACATTTATGCATGTGATTTGAAGTAACATGACAGAACTTACTCATGTTTGAGCTTTGCAATTTAATTTGTATGTGTTGTTTTCATAGCTATTAAAATACATCACTGTTAAACAATTTAGTGGCACATTCAATATAAACCTAAATACATCAACCTGAAAGAAATTTATATCAACGTCCACAGTTCAGCAGCATTTTTGCATGGTAGTACTAAATTGTTTATGAAAGAACAAGCACCATTTACTAATCTTGTCTTTTATAAATATAAGACAACCTCTTTCTTTCCAGAGTACATTTTTTATAGCTTGATATTATGCTTGTGAAGAGTTTTATCCTACAAACTGGAATTCAATGACAAGATTAAATGGGATGTGTTTATGAAAAAGTATGCTTTTACGTAGTTTTCAGATAAGCACACTTTTGTAGTAGAATCATCTATTGTTTTATTGTTATCTAGTAACCTTGTTATTACTGTGTAACATTTTGATATGGAGATATTCAAGTATTAAACCATATTTTTCACTACAAGAGGACGATGTGAATAATAATAAACACAACAAGCTTTAACCAAATGTTTACTGAAAACGTTTGTTGTAATTCTGTCATCTGTGAATGGCAGTATCTAAAAACAGCAATGTTAAACAAGTGAGCATATAGTTGTTAAAAGAGTGGACTTTGTTAAAAATTTCACGAAAGCCCCAAAATTTTTCTAAACTCCAAGTATGCCATCTATAAACCTATACCAAATAACAGGATTGACGTTCATTACTGGCAAAATTATCTCAAACTGTCATTATAGAACAACATTTAATGTATTTATGAAAATTTTACAACAAAGGGCTATATTTTATAGAACACAGATTTTAGCAGATTCAATCATCTTTTTTCCTGAAATTTAAATCACTTAGTAATACAAATATTGTTTAATAAACACTTGCTGAGATTTAGCTCCTATTTCTATACCTTGTAATAAAAATTCCCTAGCTAAAAGGAAGCAAAAAGACTTTAGCATATCTTTCAAAAGGAATTCATATTACAAGACTCTTTACAGACCTGTTCGAAATGTTCTAGCACTTGCTGATGCATTGAAGACCTGAACCCACAAGCCTTACAAATATATGGCATTTCACACTCTACATGTAAAGCTTTCATGTGGGCAGTAAGAGTTCCTCTAGATGAGAAAGCTTGGTTACAAATTTGACATGTTAAAGTGTCAGTCTTCATGTGCACCTAAATGATAGAAACAGTAAAATTCAGCATACAATGCTTTGCTTATGACCAAGTTTTAAAAGTTTACTTGTCTTTTATATATAAAAATGAATACTTTGAACTATGTATCAAAATCCAAAAAGCATGTGTCAAAGAAACAAGCACCACTGAAAAGATTAATCATTGTAACAGATTTAAATCAAACAAAGTTAATATTTATCCTATTTCTAATACATACTTCTGATAATAATGGATTAACATTAAGGATCCTTTCAAGCATACATTTAAGTACATGTACAGATTTTGTTGAACAAGACCGATGTCTGTAGGTTTACTTTCTTCTTAGAATTCTCCGAGTACATGTACAGGTAAACATTTGAATTTCACATTAAATTTACAAATAATTTTTTACATGCAATTAATTAAGTTTAACAATTTCTGCTCTCTAATTACCAGATGCTCCATGTTAATTATTAAAGAGCTTTGTTAAATGATGTATACGTTGATATTTTATTAGTTCCCACAATACCTAAATGTATAGGAATATCACATGTATAGTTTTATTTGCGTAAATTGAATTTCCATGATGGTTTTCTCATATTGATAATTAAAAATACTAGGACATCCAGAGGGTAAAGTTTGCATTGTTATACTGAAAGAACTTGAGTGCTTGCTTTCAAACTACCTAGCCTGAAAAATGAGACATGTAGTTAGGAAAAAAAAAAAAATCTGACTTCTTAACTCTAAATTATTTTCTTTACTATACAAAATAAATTTAAATATATACTGCTGAATGGCATTGTGAAGTGACTATTAGTTACAAAATTCAGTTAGGCTAAGTTAAGTGCAAAGTTTTGTTGTTTTAGTTGTGCTTAATTTAAATTAAAACTTTAATTGAAAACTTTAATATTGATACAATTAATAATATATTGATAACAATAAGATACTGCATTATTTAACAAAAAATAAATCATTCTTTTGATATGAAGTTTAACCTTCACATTTAGCCTAATATGAATGTTATACTAGGCCTAAGTGGCTAAGTGTAAGCCAGTAGGCTGATCAGTAAAGTTAAAACCTTGGCTTTTAAGTCTTTAGGCCATTTGCCACATTAAAAGAAAGCTACATTGCTACAAAGGAAATAACCTAATATATATGTAATTAAGAACAATCGATGATTAAACAATTACTTACATTTATTTGCAATGAACGCTTAACAACACGGAAGTATGTGGCAACTGGGCCCTGGCACATGGCATACTGGATGCAGAACTGCACATTACACGAGGTTTAGCAGGAAGGAGGTCAGAGTGTTCTAAATTTAGAATATTTGGCAGTTGGTGAAAGTTATGCTGGAATTTTGGACGGTGCGCTGGAAAGTGCTCGCAGCTCATAAATCTCTCTTTAGTGTGAAATTTTTGTCTTTGACTTTAACTCGAAAATCTTTGTTTTTACTGTCAGTTGCATTAGCATTACCAGCAGTTTTTGAATGTTCTATTGGTATAACTATGTTTGAAGAAAATTCCTTTATTCAGTCCAAAGTTATGCTATTTTCCATTTTGAACTTGGCTTGGCTTGTAGACTAATTTTGCACCAGTTTTTCTGGACTATGGATTCTTAGCTTAAGAGTATGCAAATTTTTAAAAAGTCGAGTTTAAAGTTGGGGCATTTGTCATGGACCCTTGAGCATGCACGGGCCCCAAGGTAGTTGCCACCTTGCCCCCCCCCCTCTCGGTGGGCCTGTAAAATTGTAATACCTAATACTGCCTACTGTCACATATTAATATCAACTCATAATATACAGTAATTTAAAAAAACACAATATAACACTATTTACTTTTTTAACAGATATTTATTATTAACTTATCATTACAAATAAAAAACTTAAATTATTGAACCTTTGATGAGCAAATGTAATTACTAAACCTATTCTTGAAAGCACTTTAGAAATATTGTTGTGATACTAGATTACAGTTTAAAAACACAGATTGGAAAAATACATCATGAAAACTGCTTTCTTTTTGTTGTTAATGTCAGATAGAAAAATATAATAAGAACCTTGACCTTAGAACTTCAAATATATATTTTAATCGCACACCTCAAACAAAAGAGTGTGTTCATCTGCATTACCATCACGTGCACAGACTTACTGTACTGTGGTTGTTAAATTTTAAACATTTCCTTCAATTAAACATCTGTTGTATAAGAAATACTTTACTTAAATTTGTACAGTCTGAGCTGGAGTTTCAGAATCATTAAATGATATAAAATTCAGTTAGGTCAAATCTTTGATATCTTGAAATTTTTTTAATTCAATGTAATAACTTGTATTGAGAATGAATTTCAAACTACATATTTTTTAGCTTCCATTCACCCATTAATTTTGTGACACTTTTGTGACACGTGACTTCAACTAAAATAACAATGCATATTTTACCGCATCAACATGGCACTGCATACTGAAGGGTGTCTCAAAGTCTCTGAAGCAGTACTTGCACTGTGTGAGGTCACTCAAGTCTGGATTTTTCTGTCGTGTGTTCTCAATGTGACAGTTCATGTGCTTCATTAATTTAATATTGTTCTCTATTAGCTTCTTGCAAAAATGACACTGAAAGAAAAGTTTTTAAAAATTTATTACAAATCTTAAACAGAATGAATCTTAAAAATATGATTTTTTATACTCAACCAACAGCTTCAGTGAATAAACAGAATAATTTATAGGAGTTAAAATATTTCAATTTCTTACAACTAATAATGTCATTAAAGTTAGTTTAAAATACAAATAGGTAATAAGTGCATCAAAAGAAGACATAATTTTAACCACATTATCTTTTGTTGACCCAATACAAGCTTCCGGAAAGTAATGTAAAATAACATTTCAACATTTTCTTGTTTTCACACTCCACTATTGATCTTTTATATAAGAAAACAAAAGCTCTAAACAAGTTTTGAAACAGAAAAATACAATAAAGATATTCTAAAATTATAATAAGAGCTTCAGCTTGTAATATCTGCATACATCTTAACTTAACACCAAGTTAAAGAGCAAGTTTAAATAGAGAAATACTTTCAAACTTTTCTGACAATCATAACTGACTAGATCAAAAAACTTAAAAGTTTAACATCAAACATTCAGACTAAATGTAGAAAATTATAATCATTTTCATATCATTTTAAATTCTAATTTAAATTATTATTTTGTTCATAGAAATTAGTGCCATAGGGCTGATTATCTGTGACTAAGTTCATTTTATCTTATAATGACATTAACTTAATGACTGACCATTTATAGCCATAAGTTTTCATTTTCTTTGGCAACTAATTTTAAATAAAATTCAAACTGAACTAACATAACAACATAAAAAACTTAACTTATCATATATAAATACAAAGAGTAAAAGCCAGCGTTTCTCCTACTACATTTTGGGTGGATAAAGCATCAAGTATCTATTTCCATTATTTGGATTTTGCTCAGTTATCAGCTTCAATACTTAAAATTTTTAATAATATGGCCAAGAAAGCTTTAGTTACTGTAAATATAATGTAAAAGTGTCTATGATGTTATTCATTAGTGTTCTTTGAAGCTCATTCCAAATCAGAGATGAGCAATTAACTCAAATATTACCTATTACTACTTCCATTGGTGCAACAGTGCTCAATGGTATGAATACATTCTGCATTTACACAACAAGTTACACAAACAGGACATGTTTAATTATGACTAGCTCTAGCTAAATAGGAAGCACAGCAAAAGTCAGATCATCACTTGTCACTCAAATTTTGCAAGGTACAGTAAGGTTCAAGTTATTTCAATTTTTTGCTTTCCCAGCATGCATGTGTATTTCTACAATTTTTCCAACCTGTACTGTAAAATTATAAACATATTAATCATTTTAGTGTGTTCTTTCTAAATTTCAGTCCATTTTAACAACTTGTTTAATAGCATATGATGTTTTTATACTTATATTGGAATTGGGAAAAAATTCAGAAACATTAATAATTAAAGATTTTTTTTGTATATCCATGTTTAAATACAGCTTATAATATATTGATTTACAGTTTAAGAACCATTATAATCCCTGAAAAAAAAAAGTCTAGTATCATCACAAATTTTTCTGCCAAATAGCAAATTCTACGCTGCCTTTGTTTTTCTAGAATTGACATGAATTTGTTTTTGCCAAGTAATATATTACCTATCACACACACTGTTTTAAAAATATTTACTGATTTTATTATAATTTCTCTAAGGACAAATAATTAGTTTATTTGGTTTTAGTATTCTTGTGAAAATTTGTAGGGGACACTCATGGAATGTTATTAGTTCAATAAGTTTCATATTACATTGTGTTTACGAGACATTTTTATGTACAACAGGTTTAGCTTAAAAAAAAGTAACTTAATCCTAAATTGATATGCCTGATGATTAATCTATTAGCAATTTCCACTAATCACCCAGATCTATTCCAAATACACTTTAATTTAAAATTATTTCACTCTTCACTACAATTCACAGTACATTTTGTATTAGTTTTGAAGAGTAATGGTGCATTACTAAAATGGGAAACTACTAATTCACAGTACATTTTGTATTAGTTTTGAAGAGTAATGGTGAGTTACTAAAACGGGAAACTACTAATTCACAGTACATTTTGTATTAGTTTTGAAGAGTAATGGTGAGTTACTAAAATGGGAAACTACTAATTCACAGTATATTTTGTATTAGTTTTGAAGAGTAATGGTGAGTTACTAAAACGGGAAACTACTAATTCCCAGTACATTTTGTATTAGTTTTGAAGAGTAATGGTGAGTTACTAAAATGGAAAACTACTAACTCACAACCCAAAAGTTGATGGGCATTACAAACTCACCTTGAAGTTAATATTTTCTTTTGATTCTTTTTCTATTGCCTCACTATCTCCTTCTTGTTTCGCATAGTAATATTCAGAAAGGATTACATAAACAGTTTCATCTGAAATAATAAAAAAATTTATTAAAAAATAAAAGAAAATACAGGAAATAGGAACCAGAGGACAAAGCTGACATTTCCTCTGAAAGGGACGGATGCCAGTCCAACACAGGTTAATCACCAGCCATCAGCTTGTATCCATTTTACAGCTGGATAAAAACTGAAGCAATTTGGATAAAGTGTCTTACCCAAGGACTCACAACCATTTGACTACGAGTCCAAAGCACTAACCACTAGGCCACACTATACCCTCAATGTTATTTGCTCTGTTTAATTACCTTATAACCCAATGACATAAATTTCTTCCTGTCCAACTGTACAAATACTGAATCAAATATATTTACCTACCTGCTTGGTTTTAATAATCAAAGGTAACTCCTGCATGCCATAAAACTTGTACCAAGCTCTATTTTGTAATAAATATTCCAAAATATCTATTAACAAGCAAAAGCACCCATCCCTAGTGATGAGAAAAATTTAAGATAATCTAGCAAAAGTCCTCAACCCCAGCAATGGGAAAAGCTTAAGTTAATCTATCAAATTTAAGTTATTTCACAGACTTTAAAAATGTTAATTGTTTTGCACTCTTGATTTCACTCAGAGCCAAAGCTATGAGCTACTTTTTCCACCCACCACAAAAAGTAATTGTTGAGCATTTCAGTCATGCTGAGAGCTGCTCAACAATAACAGTAAATCTATATTTTTATTCCTTAAATTACATTCTATTTGCAAATGTGAATGATAGGGTGATTAATTCCTAACAATTTAGTGTAGAATATGCTGCTTGCAAAATAAAATTGGCATCAACATTATTCATGCCTGTTCTCCTGTCATTTCATAAGTGAATGTTGAGCTTTGCCTGCATGTGCAGCTTTTCAAAAGCAGCAAGGGAGCAGCCTCCATAGATAGGAGATGGACAAATGCTCGGACAGAAACCACAGTTCACAATATATAAGATTATAATTATACGCTTATGATTTTTTTTCACAATATTACTAATATCTTATGTGCATTTGATTGGTATAGTCATTCCATTATAACAATTTGGTAGGTTATTTTAAACTAAACTAATCTTGGCAACATTAGCAAAACACCAAGCACAAAAAAATGTGAAAATAATTTTCCAAGTCAAATGTATATTTTTATATAATCTTTTAGCACAGAAGCTTTTTTGTTTAACTATTTTCCAACATCTGAAATAATTCAAAACTTAGCATTCACTTAGTTGTTATTAAAATACTAAAGTAAAATTAAGTACTTAGACAGTAACAAGCACACATAAAAGCACAAAATTTATAACTGTAATTCTACCAAAGTGAGTAAAATATTCTCTTTAATATATTTTTAAGTTTGAACTGAAATCAATCAGTTTGTTTCCTGCTTTGCTGAAAACTTGATGTAAATTGAAAGCTTGAGACATCTGTCTCAAATATACATTAAAATATTCTATCACTGAAGCAACAGCTTGTTTGTCTAATGTACATTCGTTCAATTGCCCATGTAATAAGCAGACATTAGGACATCAAGCAAAGAACTGTCTTATGTTGAAAGTGATAGAATTTTTGAATATCTGAGTGACTTAAGGAAACAAAACAAAGTTTATCCTTGTGAATGTTATTTTAGTAGTTCAGAACATATGAACAATTTTTCTATAGCTGCACTCAAGTGTACATCATCAGAAATCACTAAAAGAGAACACCTTAAAAGCTGACAAATTTATTAGTGGGTGGACTCTTACCTAAATGAACTAAATAATGTGTCTCCTTTTTGTAAATTTAAAGTCACATCTCTACATCAAATTATAAATACTTATATTAATATGTTATATTTTACTTTATATTTCATTTCAGTTAATATTATTCAAAACACTGTCTGAAGATTTTACTGGAATATTTTATGCAAAGTATTGTATTATTGTGTGTATTGTAATTTTGATGATGGCTTGTATATCTCTGTCTAAAACACATATTTTGTGGCATTTTCTATCTAGATTATAAATTATTTTTTCCATATCTTTCAAACTTTCAATAGTAAGCTGTTAGATCTGATCCAAAACATCACCTAATAAAAATTTCTACTTACAATATTTTATCTTTCTAGTTGTGTCTACTGTTACTGCAGAAATAGTTTCATGTTATGTTGGAAAATATTTTTGACAAGAACATTCATTAAACAAAGTAGCATGGAAAAAAAATAAAAACTAATGGACCTGATTAACAGTGCTGTAAAGAATAAAGCATGTAGAACACCCAAAAGTAGAATAATATGGTGGAATACAAAACACTGGTGATATAAGGAACAAACCTTTTCATTAGCTGTAGTTATTGTAGAAAGTTGGAAAATATATGAACATAGGATAGGCAAATTTGTGAAGGAAAAAAAAAACATCCTACAAAACAAAAATGTTTTTGGGGATAAATATAAACTGTATACTGTTCTTTTATCATTTGGTTATACTAAGAAAAAATATTGCTCTGATTTTCATACAGGACATGGTTTTATTCAATTTGCCTTGTAGACATATCAAGAGTTCGCTTCTGTCCATCTTTCATCATAATGATTAAAATACAATTAGTAAAAATTAAAAATTTCCAGGTTATTGCTATATACAACAAAAATAGTGAAGTAAAACATACATTATACTCACAAAAATTTTAGAGAAAGATATTAGGTTTATATATATATATTTTTTTTTAATTATTCACCATACATTACCAGGTTTTGATTTCTTTGGTAGTGGTGGTGGTGGTGTTGGTGGTGATGCTTTTTGTACTGGGCTTTCAGCTGGACGTTTTACTTGTCCTTTATACTCTCTTCGATATTTTAGATCATTTTTCTCTCCAATCAGGGTAATCACATTTTCAGGGAGCTGGTTTTGTTTTGTTTCAAGACCAATTGAGGAAACTAAAATTAAAAAAAAAGTATATTTTTTAAATCATGCAAATATTCTGCACAAATGCTTGTAACGTCAAGTTTAGTGATACTTAATGCTTAATCTTGAGAAGCTAGATAAACTTAATAAGTAATATCTTACCTACATGTATAACTCATTACTGCAAGCAAATAAATCTGAATTATTTCTGAGAAATGTCTATGTGTGATAGGCACTGTTGAAAAAAAACAAGCACTTGAAATAAGTACTGTATGAAACTGTTAGAAACTTGATTCCTGATTTAGTAATGTTTTAATGCTTGGCTGTAAATAAGGTTTTATAAAACAAAATGACAATTTAAACATGGAGTCACTATAAAATAACCAATGGAAAAGATTCAGTAGTGTACTAGAAAAGTAAAATTCAAGACACCAAGTTTATGTCACTATCTAAATATAATTTATAGCAATGATACCCTACCACTGATTAAATATACTGTTAAATTTAAATACATTAGTTCTGGTGTATCAATTTAGTGCAGTATCATTTTTTTAGTTAGTTCCATTAAACTTCCATCAATAATATATAAGTTAAATCATTTTAGTTCTGATCTGCATAGTTAGCTTAATTTTTGTTAAATCAAGTTTTGAGAAAATAAGAAATAAATAAGTTTTATATTATCAGTTTGTCACTAATACATGTCTACCATTTAGGTTCTGAAAGCCAGTGTTTCACAAGGCTCACATGACAGAATTAAACAACTAACTGCTTATATTCTTTCAAAGCTGGACTTACTTTTAAAAAGTCAAAGATGCTTTACTGTCAAAAATTATGCATATAAGTCTGAAATTAATGGATAAATTATTTGTAAGAGCACCCATAAACTTGAATTATGACTGAATAAAAACATACTACTTAGGGTTAACTTTAAAAATTTTAACACAGCTTTTCAAATTCTAATTTGTATGCAAAAATTAAAGTTTTTGTTATATACTGATGTAACCAAAATAAAAATAAAATAGAAATATTATCACCAAGCAATACAGAGTACGTTAGTAAAAGATATTCAATTATAGAAAACCCAACCTTCTTTTATCATTAAGATCTGAAATTTAATCATTTCAGAAAAGGTAGCACCTTACAGAAAACATTTTGTAATTAAAGGGGCAAACATCATGGGAACTTCATTCCAGTGTCTTTTATTTCAAAGATACAAACCTTGAATCTCTGTAATAAAGGTGAACAAAGTTAATTGTTAAGAATATTCAAAACATATTTTAAAATTTAGGAGAAAACAAAACTTTTTACAAATTAAATTGTATTCAAAGGTTGTGTTTGTGATGATTTTCTAATAATTTTAATTTCAAAGGTAAGTCTATGCTTTCGTGAGCAATCACAGTGGATGCCACTAATGATCATTGTGTTCAGGGCTACAGAATCACTAAAATCTTCATAGCACAAATTCCTGACTTTCCAGATTCTGCTAATTACTAGAGATGAAAGACATACACTTTGCTTCAGATTAAATAAACAAGTTAAATTTTTATCTTAATGTTTTGAGATATGTACTATACAGTCTATAGACACATACATTAATACATTTCACAATTAAATTTATCAACATCCGTAGTTTAAAACATAACATATGGGTGGTGTAGCTTTACAAGTTTGGTATCTAGTGTTTAAAACTATCTCTGAAAAAGAACAGCAATAACACCAACAAATATAATTCCACTGCATGAAGGAATACAACAAGACAAAATTTAGAGAAAATTCTTGCTTCCAAGCATTAACAGTTGTGATGTTTTGTTAAACTTAGAAATGATCATCTCAACTTCTAGTAGATAAGAATATTTGGAAAGGCCTATTGTTTATTAGAATACTGAATGGCTTATCTTATTTTTATATGTTTCATTTCATGTACTCCACTTACACATGTGAGACTCCATAAAATTTCATTTTTTCCAATTACCATCAAACCCATTGAGGCGTAGATGAGAGTACATCTACAATTTGAGAAAAACTTTTTGGATTGGTCAGTGGATTGAAAACCCTAGTTTTACAATCTTATGGAAATAAAATTTGCATCATTCTCCAACAGCTGTAGTAGAAACGTGCACAAAAGACTTTTATATCTTTCAGTACAAGCTTGGGCCCTGAAACCAACCTCATAACCATTTTCTGCTTGTTATAGTTTTTATGCTATAACCTTTAAATGAGTAAGCGTATGTTCACAAAATTTGACAGATTATCAGTAAACATTTCAAGGCTTTCTTATGCAAAATATCAAATTTTTTGTTATTAAGCCTTAAGGTCTGTTAAGCGATGTTTTTCTCATGCCTTTTTTTCTTTTCAGAAATTGCCTATCCAACATTCAAAGTAATTTTCATTTTAAGATTAAAATTACTTTTATGCATCAGAAAATTTTCAACTTTCACATGCAAAATCTTTATAACATCCAGATAATTATCAAAACATTTCTTAATAAAAAACTTTATATTTTATCTGTTATTTTCAGTAACAAATCTCTGCTTTTTTCGTTCTAGAATGACAACAAGTTATAATACAAAAACTCAAATGTTTAGACTAAATAGCTTAAATCTCATAATATTAGACATTTAAATATTTTTATTATAGACCTTCCAGTCATGCCTGGTTAACAATACAGAAGTTATAATGACATGGTGCATGTGCTCTCATGTTACCATATCCAATAATATAAAACTGACCTTTAGTCTTTACAAAGTGACCTGTTTTGTCTGCATTTTAGTGGACTAGTATTTTGTAAAATACAGTCACATTTCAATTATTATACATTATACGTGTATATACATTATTACTATTTACAAATAGGTTCTTCAATTATTTTTCTTAAAATACAGAACAGTAAATAAATAAGTAAATCAAACTCAAGTAATCAAATTATCTCGTCCAATTATGACCTTTGTACTTATTTGCTGCTTGACATAGGTAGCTAAGCCTTTTAAAATTTCGCACATGGAGGATATGATATGAAATTTTTTTAGGTGTTTTATATATACAGTTGAATAACCAAAAAATCATAAATTACTATATCAATACCATAAAATTTTACTATAATTT